TAGAGAAATAGTAAAATTCTTCCCGAGCGATAAGACATAGCCGTAAGTAGAAAAATCAACCCACCAGAGCACTTAACACAGCAGGCTCAGCTGTGATAAAACATGCGCTCCTACACAGTATGCGTATGCACGTGCTCTCCGCAGAAACGGGTCCTTTCCGAGGACACATTTCTTGGCAACGGATACCGCTCGATCTGGTCATCTTAAGCTCCGAGAAAACCGAGAATGCGCATAATCAGAGGCCAAAACGGTTTCAAAAATAAATAACTTGCAGTGGCTACAGACGAGATCCATCATATTTTTTGACGAAGGCTCTCTGCAGCCAGGCATGAGTCATATGTAAATACAGCCGTAAAAAGGAAAGATGATTGTACATGACGTTCGGACAGACGCACCACAGAAAGGAAAGCTGACCTGATAAATGGACTAAATTCCGCAAAAAAGAACGAGGAATGTTGCAATGTTGCGAAAATCACTTCACAATTGGATTTATTCTCTAGTTAATGTGCCGTTATAAAATGACTCCAGATTTTACAATTTTTGAAAGTTTTGTCAATTCTTGTGAAGAAAGAAGGATGACCCAGATTGAATGCGACTAAACTGAAAAGTGTAATTTCAGTTCATTTCATTGAGAACCATGCAGGGACTGGTGAATAAACTTAAGTAAGGACTGGTGAATCAACTTAAGTAAGGACTGGTGAATAAACTTAGGGCCCTTTGCAAAATGAGCTAACAAGGCCTTTTGAATAGATTTTTCCACAAGAAAATGCTACATTTTTCGAGACTCCAATGACTTCGAAACAACAATTTTGGAGATGCAGATACAGGTATTCTGATGATCTCTTGAAGGAACGTAACCTACGCATCTGTGCGTAATGGGTACACGTTGATTATCCATTCGACCATCTCCGCTGGAGCAGGAACAGAAGCCTCCGCGAGCTTTTGCCAACTTGAATAAGTCGCCTCCTCACCGGATAAAGTTTCCCGTATTTATAGAAATCACTTTGAATTTAATCACTCGGAATCACTTCTCTCCTTCTTTTAATATGAGGCTCGTAAAAACGGGACATAAATAACGTAGCCCGGATCGATCGGAGATAAGCCGGGAACTCGCGTGGCGGGGAGCCGAGACTGCACATACAGGGGCGCGCCAAGTTGCCAGATTTACGAAAAATTTACGCCTTCAATCGAAGGAAATCTTCAATTCCTTGCACGAGCTGGCGGCGCTGGGTGGGGGAGATTGTCCCGGCCCGGGTATAAATCAAAACGAAGCTCGTAAAAGTCGTTCGATTCGCGGGAAGGTTAACCGGGCCTCCGCCGCCCGGGAAAAGAGAAAAAACCGGAGCCTTCGCTTTCGAGAGGAGATAACGTGTCGAACAAAGGCGCGGTCAAAAGTCGGAAATTGAGCCGCGCGGTGACAGTCACGTTCGGGGATTTAATTTTTGGAATTTTTAAGTCGCTCGTTTTCGGTGGAGAGTCGAGCTTTACGCTGTATCGATTGATCTGCCATTTAAACGAATGGAGAATGATCGATTTTGAGGGTGATAGAACCAACACCAAGAAAATCGATTTTTTTTAACATAGCTTCAAATAGGAAAATATCCTTGGTAGATGATTACTTCGCGGGAAGCGCCCCCCGGCTTTCAGGGAGGATTTGACGACGAGCTCTTGAGCGTCAAAGTGGTTCAAAAACGCTCGACTTATGAGATTTTTTTATCTTTTGTATTATTTTCTACCAGTATTGAGGAGTATCGTGTTAGGAGGATAGAGAGAGACATCTATAATTTCATTCATTCTGTATACATAAATAAGTCGCAGGCAATCAGCAATCGCCGGAAATTTGCGAGCAACTAGTGAATAAGAATAAAGACATAAAATTCAGAAAAAAAGGAACAAGCTTAGTGTAGGGATTATTCTGCCTTTAATGAGAATGGACACGTTTTCAACTGTAGAAACATGGCAGGTACAGGCACATTTTTGAGAGCCTGTAGAGTTAGATCCATGACCATAGTTGGGTTTGGATCGAACAAGCAACTAAACTAGCTCCGTGACGAAGCGTGGGGTATCACACAAGATGAAGGCGCTCCAAGCTGAGATCATATTTTGAAGGCCATTATCCATTAAAACTTCATTGTGCCGATGCGCCTTATTGCAATTTATCGAAAGAATACGTGAAACGCTTGAAGATTGCCGGAATTCGCTAATTGCTGATGACATATGATATTGCCAAAATTAGACCGACAATCAGCAATTTACAATATCAATAGCCGAGAGCTGGCAGCACTATTTTCCACCTTTTCAGCCGCCGTCTCGTCTGTTGCAGGCTGTAAGTTGAACAACGTGCTTTGGCCATTCCAACTAAATGGAATACGAACTAATTATAAATTCTCACAGAGTTTTAAATTTCGTATTTACGAAATGTATTTTCTCTGCAATGCATTAACCTATACCTTAACATAAGGTTACATAAAGGGGCAGTCTCCCGAGAAACCAGGAAACAATGGATATTCTGGCTGTAAAATCATTCACAATGTCTCTATTTATCCTGAACCCTCGAAACATTTTTTGTGAGAAGGGCTTCGGATCGATATATTGGCAGATATCCCATAGCGAACTAAATTTCTTTGCACCTCCTGAAGACTCAATTTTTTTTTATCAGCTCTAATCAAAATGACAGATGAATGTGACTTTTTACGATGTGTTCGAAAATCAGTTTGACGTTCCTTGCGATATATGAGCTTGTTCAGTAGTTTAACTTCACTGAATGAATATGCATTATTCTCTTCCCCCTTTCCTTATTTTCCACCACCCTTTTTTTAAAGGGAACAAAGATATCTTTTTTAGTATTTTTGTCGTCAAAAACGAGACAAGGCTCTATTTGAATACCGAAGCCAAGTCCTGTTTTTTTTTCTTGATACTTTTTTTCCATCGTCTTGCGCATATTTTATCAACAGAGATCACAGCTTCCAGCATCTCGGTGGCGATCCTGATGTTATCAATACCATTCAGCCGTCTAATTTGAATTCAAAGTTCTCATCACACAGACTCGTTCAATTTCGCGGGTTTATTGCCGTTTCCACATTAATAAAAAGGACTCGTTAATTAAACTGATTATGACGGTTTTATGTCGGAGCGAGCCGTTTAAAATAATATAAACTGCGGATCGAGCATTCGCCGCTTTTTTATGGCCGCTGACTCTTGGTCCTTTGATCGACGTACATATTTATAGCTAAATATTTATAGTTCATTATGGTCGACTTAACAGCATCTTGCAGTATATCCCTTTTTAAACGAGAGCTGCGCAAGTTTTACCACCTGAAATTGTGGTGAGCTAGTTGCCAGGTTTTTACGATCCGTTAAACGAGCTGAGACCGGGAAATCCGTGTTTTCGCGTATAAAGACAACGTCGTGTTAAACGTCCGATCGTTAAATTTAAAATAGGTGCTTACGACTACTGTTCAATACTTTTCACGCCGCTTTCATCTTTTCTGTCAAGTGAGCTTTGAAGTTCGAGATTGATTCCTCGCGAATTCAACAAAGAAAGCTTTATAATACCTATATAATGCATCTTTTTGGCTGAATCTCGAACACAATATGTTACACTAATTTTTGAGCAAAAATTGTTAGGTCCTTGATTTCTTATCTTTTTCCGGTATCAATGCAAAATTTCATCATTAAACCAGGTATCCTAAAAATTTGTGAGCTGCGCGAGGTTGATTATGATCATGATTATTACGCATTACTAGAGAATCTGTTTTACGAATAAAAACACAATGGTTTCAAAATGATATAACCTTTTCAACAATTCGCTTCTTCCAGCCCATTCTCAAGAGGTATAAATAAGTTCGATAGCTTTTAATTTACTGTAAATGCTAACGTCAAAGTTTGGACGCAACTAAATCAGCTCCCAGGACGGCCGTGTTGCATATTCGAAGAGATGAAGGCGCGCTGACTTTTTTCCGCAAACACAAAAAGCCGGACCACACCGCTGAAATTGAAAATTTCGAATTCTTTGAGAAACCCATGGGTTATTAGTTCGTACGCCCTTGTTCATTGGCAAGGCAGATGAGTTCTTGGTTAGCGAAAATACCTCACTGACATCCTTTGCAGAACCAAGCAGTCCTGTCACGCCTCAAAGGTGGAGACGCGGTTCGCTGAAAAGTTCAAGGCTTCCCCATTGATTGACGGATCGTCCCTATCATTATGTGTCTTGCCACTGCCTATGCCTACTTTTCGTCCCTATCAACATGCTGAATTTTCAGTGCTGTGACATGAATATGATTAAGTAGAATTGCCTATTATTTGTCTTGAAGACAGTATCTTCATTTGACTTCTTTGTTTTCAATACGGTTTGATTGAAATCCATCGAAATTGAGAAAATGGGTATGTTACGAACTTAGTTTTCAATTTGCTTAAAACTACTCGAATTTTTTTGTTAACTGGACTGGAAATCTTGCAAACCCTTATACTCGATATTAATTCCTGCATGTTCATGCTAATTTGTCTGCTTCAACATGATTCAATTAGTTGTATTTTATATTTTACAGCCCTTTGGGACAAGCTGGCGCAAGGAATGTTTAATGACGGAATAGGGATCACGATAAAATCTGCATAGAGCCGTTCAAACTAGAATTGGAAACTTAAAAAGGTCAATGCGTTTTGTTCCACAAAAAAAATAGTGAAGGTAAATTAACAACCCAGATTTCATCAAAGTAACACCATTAAATACCTGCCTACTGTACCTTTATACTTCTTTTTGTTTCAAATTAACTTTTTAGGAGAGTAAAAGGACCTATCTGAATTTTACAAGGTCCGGCGAAGAGACGCGTTTTTTTAAAGAAGAGATAAAATCAAAATATAACGTCAAGAGAAGAAACATAGGAAAATTAACAGCAAACGCAATATAACTTTAAAAGAATCAATTTTTGGGGGCAAAGAATCAAGAGTTGGAGATAAGAAAGAGGGAGAATAGAAAGTAAAATAATTAAATCAGTACTCACCACATACGACTCGATCAAAGGGATTTATCCATTCTGCAAAAAAGAAAACAATTTTGTTAGATAAGCGTAACAGGGGCTCGAAATCAGAGTGTAAGTACGGATATCGGCTGAAGAATAACAATACAAAGCATACGAAATACAGTTCAATCAATTCACTTTTTCTACTGATATTGTAGCAACTATTATTTACAATCAAACGTTAGTTAATCGTGGTAAAAATAAAGCGCACTCCTAAGACGAAACGGTATACATACAAGGAACTACAATTTGGGGCTCATTTTAGAAACAACATATGTGCCATCAATCTTCATATGCAGATAGTTGTTTTCATGGATGAGACAGAAATTGTAGTTCCTTATTGCAAAATGCAGTCCAAATGTTCCTTTCAATGTTCATCCTCTGAGGACCATTTATTTTACGGGGAAAAGCTAAAGAAAACTCTCAATAAAAGTCAGCTTTTCACTTACTTCGAAGAGAGAGTAAATTCAAAACAAGGTTGAACTTCCTTAAAACTGAGCAATCAATGTAAGAATATCATGAGCTCTGGCAAAATATAACATATTCTGATCCAAAAAAGGCTTATAATTTGGAAAGGTAGTGGACATGAAACCGTAAGCATAAGTTTGTGAGATACAATTGCTGAATTTAATGTAGCGTGTCTATTCTGGAATCGTACTTATTTGCGCAATTATTGTTTATCATCGCTGATGACAGATACAGTTTTGAAACATTAAGTAATTCAAACGCATTGAATGACCTAAAGGACAGGTTTCAGACACAATAATTATTAATACTGCATTTTGACCATTAAAACAGATAAACAATAATGACAACTTTAAGTATTTTACGTAAATGCATGCAAAATACAAGACGGCAGACACAAGCAAAACATGCAAGAAAATGCATGATTTTGAGAATATAATGGATAACGATGAACGATTCTCCAAATGCGATTGTAAACACGAATAAATTGATCATTCTTCGCTATAGCTGTCACCGTTGAAGAATAATAAATTATGGTGGCCCCCACACTATGAGCCAATTTTAGAATATTGTGAATAAGTCAGAGTGAATTTGAAGCATGTGAAAGAAAATTTGAATAACGAGTGTACGTGGAAGTTGAACGCTCTGACGGTTCGTCTGGAATGAGAAGTGGTTGAACCGTCTCACACGTTTGAGATTGTATTTAATCTGAAGAAGAAATTGACCAGTTTTCCTCATCTGCCCATCCATGCCCCACAACTTGCAGGAGGGAAAGAGGAGGAAAAACCTATGACACCTTTTTTGCCGTGATTTCTCATTTTGTCCGTGCACATAGTTCGTTCTCTCCTCTCTCTCTCTAAAATTGGTTCGCTATTCAATAGTCATTAGAGTGATCAAGTAGTGGTCACAACTGTCACAGAATCATATTTTGTATGGTTAAATGTCACGTAAAGCAATCTATGAGATCCGTCAAGATGCCAAAGGACTACAAAGAAAAGCGAGAAATTCGATTTATTTCATTTGATGTTCTTTAAATCTCTTGAGTAACTTGAGCTTTTGAAACTGAACTTTCTACGTGCCAATCTCGAGAAATTCGGTCCGAAAAGTACGTTTTTCAGCAGTTTTACATGCTTTACCAATAGGGAAAATGTAGGTGATCGAGGAGTAAGATTTTTTGATATGATTTATCTTGCGAGCCTCTGAGCACAATGAGCTTTTAAAATCGAACTTATTGTGTACCAATCTTGAGAGAATTAGGTCTACAAATGCATTTTTTGGCAATTTAACACGTAGTATACAAAAAAGTGGCACCATCGCTTCGCCGAAGATGCAAAGTTTTTTGTTCTGAACTAAGTTGATGTGATGTCTCATCTCCCCAGTCGGCGCGAGAAGATAATGAAAACTGCAGCCATCTAACCCCAACTTTATACAACATCCAAACAACATAGTTTCCTTCACGAGAGAAAGTAACTGCATTTCAATGTTGCCACATTTTTCCCGGGCAAAGTGCATTTTTACCAGGAGAATCTTAAACTTCTCTGACTGAAAATTTCAATGATTTTTCTTCCGATCTCATACAAAAATCAAACAAATTTTTGACTGAAAATACGCAGGCACATTCTTGTGAAAATACAAAATCGTTCCAGTAAACATTGCGACCATTGCATTGAGTTACGTTCCTTCGTAGGGAAAACGGTGAAGTGACCCATTAATAACGTTTAGTATCGGAGTAAAAAACTAAGACTGATTGCTTCAGTGATACACTGGAAAAAAAAACACATTGGATCTAGAGTCCAGACTCTTAAACACATCGACAAGAAAAAATACTTTTGATTCAATCAGATTTAAGCTTAAATCAAGAAGCAAGCCTCTTAATTTGAGCGGATTTCCTTTTGATTTAAGCTTAAATCTGCTTGAATCAAGAGTCCTTTTACTTGTCAATGTTTTCAAGAGTCTGGACTCGAGATCCAATGTGGTTTTTTTTCCGGAGTAAAAAATGTTCCGATCAAAGTTCGTACCTTCTTCGACTTGACATGCTTTGACCTTTGGCAATCTACCTGCGGGCGGGGCTGTGGACCGGTCCCGTTACGTGTCCGAACTCGACGAGGAAGGAAAAGACAATGGCGTTGAAGATGACGATAATGGCCGCAATCATCGCGGCCATGATGGCCGAGGAGGACTCATCTGGCCGGCCTGAATGAAAATCCAATCTCCGAGACGCGACCGCAGGGAAAAAAAGGAGGAATCGAAAACCGCAGAATCCGTCGTCGACGATGCCAGATTATCGAGCTTGAGAAAAACCGCGTATCAACATAGGTATTTTATGGGAGTTACGTGTTTATTGCCCGAGTGCTTCGGTCCGGTCGCGGGTATTCCGCAATTTTTAATGTGAACCGCAGCGAATCCTCGGAACCGGGCGGTAAAAGCTGTTACGGGAGAGAATGCATCACAATAAAAGCACGCCAACGATGCAATAACCAGAGAGCATGACGCTCCGATGGTCGCTGGCGAGGAAGACGTCGCGATGCTATGGTCGGCTACGGCTAGACGCGAACAATGGAGGGTATGGATTCGATCGACTTGAATCGATCGAAAGATAGAACCGTGAATCGATCGAAAAATTATGAAAAATCGGTGTTGATTCGATCGACATGAATCGATCGAAAAATAAACACGTGAACCAATCGACCTCGGGTTTGTCGAACGATTTACGGATTTGTCAAACGACTCACGGGTTATTCAAACGATTTACGGGTTTGTCAAACGATTCACGGGTTTGTCTAACAATTTAGGGAGTCACGTTGATCGGTTCACGTTTAGATTTTCCGATCGATTCGTTCTGTAAAAACATTTAATGCCCTTTACAAACGTAAAAAGCTATACAGAAATCATGGAAGAATATTTTTGGGCGCAATTTAATAGAGACTCTGAAAGGAATACAATTTATGAAAATTAATACACATTCAAAAACACAAATACGTTAGAAAATGCACGTGCAAGAAGTATGATGAATTAAACTTGATAAAAGCTCGATGAGTCAAGCAACTGAAGAGAATGAAATGAAGATTATTGTGAGTGGCCAAAATTAAGAAGTTATAAAGCTTCCGGTGATAAAAGATGTCAAAAGCTGATAAGCCTCTAATACTACTTCCAGCAAAATGCAAAAAAAACCTATTTAAAGAATGAGACAAAACAATAGTTGATACGTTCTAAAATTTAACATGAAATGTTTCCTGAAAATCAAGTAATCTTGAGTGAGACATTATAAATGCAAACATTCTTTAAAAATGTCAGAGAGGAAGATGAGATAACAGACGATGGGGAGTAAACTTATCAAGAACACGTTGAAAATAATTAAAAGAATTTGAGGGGAAATGATATAAAAAAGAAAAAAAATTAAATAAAAGGATACAAAACAAAGTGCAAAACTGAATCAGATGCATATGCTTCCCCTGTTTTTGCAGCAGTTTTATGGCTCGTATAAATGATTTTTAAATAGGTGATAAAACGCACACATAAACTTCCGAAATTGTTCATCACTAAGCATGCCTGTATCAAAATCTTTTCAAGTTGCTACCTTGTTGTCGTTAAAAATCGCATTAGTCCACGCTAATCATTTCATTAACATGACTTTTTTAACGACACCAATAAAAAATCGAGTTCAGGTAAAGCTGCTAAGTTTAGTTCAATAATTTGCCTTCTTCCGCTTATATTTTTTTCTCTTGCAAAGGATTCACTGTCTGCAATCAGTTTGATAAACCAGTCTTTCCTTCTCTCCTTTCCAGTATTGTATAGTGGATAATGTTTTGCTTTGTTAGCTTATCAACACCAAAATTAGATTGGTTCAATGCGTCTGAATTGCAGATGAAGAAACTTGATTTTAGAGAGGAGGGCATGATTTTGGTTTTCTCTTCAGTTTAACATACAGTCAAGACATCGGATTCACATAACAGTTTCGAAAAAAAAAAAAAAAATAATGACACCGAATTGAATCAATGTATGAGATGATTCATTTGATGAACTTAAACTAGAAGCAGGTAGAAAAGCGGCCGTTAAATTGCATGAAAATATAAGCGTGGTACATTATAGGCGTGAATAAAATGCCAACCTTTCTCAAAATACGATAGCAGGCCTCTTTGGTCGATTGGACAGGATAGTGAACTTGCTGTGGAGAGGTCCCGTGATCGAAGTTCAGCCGCTGAGGAAAAAACCAAATGGAAGGGATTTAACACAGAGCACATCTGAGGACGCAGACCTTAGTAACTAAAGCAGTGGCATGGTTTGATTTGCAATGAATCAACTAATCTGCTATTTAAACCTTTGGAAAAGGATCGATAAACAGGGTGTTGATCGCAATGAACACCTTAATAATCAATTCTTTACCATAGCTTCAAATAAGGAAAGATCAAAAATCGATCATTCACGCCTCGCCACTGAACTAAAGGCTTAAGATTAGGGGGTGGTTTCACAGGAAGAACACTTGATCCTCAGACTAACGGGTTGTTTGCCATATTCAATTCTTCCTAGGTTCATTTTTACAGGCAGTAATGGAACAGCTCAATAGAACTGAAATAAACAATTTTACACTGGGCATGGGAACCAACAGGACATCCCTGTACAGGGAACATGTAATGACATTTAATAACTTAAGAACAGCAGGTTTAATATGAAGTCAGGTAAATCAGTCGGGTTTTTAGGGAATAGGCACTGGAAACAAATAGCATGAACCGAATTTCAGCCCCTAGTATAAATTCTATTCAATTTTCCAACAGTAGGTTGAATAATAGCTACAATCGGTCTGATTTTTAAGGATTTTGCACCCAAATAAAGTGACATCGCTGGGAAAAAAGGTCTCTTGAATCCAGAGTCCAAACTTTTAAAGAATTTGACAGGAATTACTTTTGATTCAATCGGACTTTTGCTTAAACAGAGAGCCAAGCCTCTTAATTCAAGGGGATTTCTTTCTGAATCCAGCGAAAATCGGATTGAATTAGAAGTACTTTTTCTCGTCAAATTTTTTTAAGTCTAGACTCTAGATCCAACATACTTTCTTTTCCAGAGATGAATTGCTTCTACTTGGATCAAGAATGAAGTTGCTTGTCGGTAGATTTCTGCATGAGATGGAGCAGCATTTTTCTTGAAAAAAAGGGATCTTTTTAGCTTTATTCAAGAACAATAATTTTTCTTGGCGGCTAATTTGAGAATATTTTTGCTAGAATCGAGTCAATCTTTTGAATCCCGTGTGGCGAGGCCTAAAAATATTCTGCCCCACGGGGCGCGACGAGGAAAAATCCGAAAGACAAGTTTAATTGGCGGTAGGCTCTGTCCGAACGACGATTGACTTCTTGAATGAGTGATCGGCGGGAAATTATGTCTAAACGTAGGAGGACGTTATTGGCTTCCGTCCATTGAGAGGCGTCTTGGGATTAGGCTTTGATGTTGCGTTCACTGATGCAAATACTGCCGTGCCGAGGAAAAACGCCGTATGAGCCTTCAAACGTTGCCGAATTTCCTTCGATAAAACCCGGATCTACTGGAAAAATTGTGAATATTATTTTCCAAAATTTTCAGACACTTTGGTACGCAATTTAATCTAAAATATCTGAAAATTTCGAGGAAAAGTATGCGAGAATTTTGTCAAAAATACATGTTTTATCAAGGGAAATTTGGCAACTCTGAAATGTTCATACGGCGTTCTTCCTTAGCACTGCAGAATAGGCGAATCGCCGGCTTTATCTCTCATGCAACGTTAGCGGCGCAATAAGGAAATAGTGTATTGCACTATGAATGCTGCATTACGGTTCGGGCCTTTTGTTCGTGCATCGAATGCTTCGCGGGGCGAGGTGAAGAAGATTCCGACTTGTCAAATCGCCGGGACCTCCACCTTGGTACCGCCGAGGGTCGATAATTTCATGAATGTTAGTTGACGCTGATGATGGGGCATTTCTAAGAAGACAACTTGCGTTCAGATACCTCTGCTGAAAGAGTTATCTAATTTTAAAAAAAAAATCGCTCAGCAACAAGTTATTTGAATCGATTTTAGCCGAGAGAAACCAAGTTCTTTTTTCGGTTAAATAAAAAGACTGCTCGTAAAATGGAGCTCTTGCAAATGTGGGGAATTTGAGATTTAAATGTTATTTCTGGTGTGAACTTTCGCGAGAAACATGTTGGTGCCACTGGTTTTCTCTGAAACAAATTGTAAAACTCCAAAAAAGCTCTTAAAGTTGAGGTCATAGTAGAGGGGATATTCTTCGCTATTCTGAGAGTCCGCCTCTATAACTAGTCAAAATCTCCATGCAAAGATAGGGAACAAATACAGTAGCAGGGTTGCCGTGTTTTCAGTTTTGGAGTTTCCAAACAAAACGGCAACCCAGCTAATACATTTTTATCTTATCTTTGCATGGAGAGTTTGACTGGATATAGAGGCGGATACTCGGGGTAGCGTGCAATATCCCCTCTATTACGGCCTCCACTTTGAAAGCTTTTTTGAGCTTTGGGGTTAATTTCAGAGAAAGCTAGAGGTAAAATCTTGTTTCTCGCGACATCTCACACACAATTCAGTACGTAAATCGCAAATTCCCGACACATGCAAGAGCTCCATTGCACGATTAATAGTGTAAGGCGCCACAAACTTTGGTTCCCGGAACCAAAGTTCGATTTTTTTACCGCTGCGACATCTCACATAAAATTCAGTACTTAAATCGCAAATTCCTGACACAAGCAAGAGCTCCATCAGACGATAAATAGTGTAGGTGACACAAACTTTGGTTCCAGGAACCGAAATTCGGTTTTTTTCACCCAAAATTTCGGTTCCGCTATACATGAAAAGAGTCCTCCCCGTACGTACTTCCCGGTTCAGGGCGATGAGAATTTTTTGTGTCACCGCATAAACGGCAACGCCCAGATCCCTAAAACAGAAGCTGCTACGGAAGTCGGCAAACAGCCCTGTCCCCGAAAGCAGATCTTTGAGAAGGGTGGGAATAGGCCACGGAGACGAGGCCGCAGATAGTTTAGGCCACGGATAACGTCAAACCCGAGTGACTAAGGAGACGCCGCTGTATTTCATAAGGAGGGTTACTGTTCCACACCACAACAGGTCATAAATTATTTTTAGCCCTACTTAAAAATAAAACACGTGTTGCAGCGTCCACAACAGCGGAATGCTAAAAGCCACCGAATGATGTGCGAGCCTCACCAGGCTAATCCCGATTGAAACTGTCCTATCGTGCCGTGATAAGGAAAAACGTCGTATGCTCCATCACGCATTGCCAAATTCCCTTCGAAAAAGCTTACATTTTTAGAAAAGTTTAGACTATTTGTCTTCCGATTTTGTAGAGGACTTCTCTCGTAATTTGATCTATAAAGCTTGAAACTTTCAAAAAAAGACGTTCACGGCTATCTTCAAGAATAAATATTTTCTGAGAGGAAATTTGGCAACATTCGAATGTTCATACGGCGTTTCAACTTAGCACGGCAGTACCGCGATGGGTTTTAAAACTTCCTCAACCTGATCTCTTTGGTTCGTAGATGATTTAAAGTAATGGGGTCGTTAGTATTTTACAATATTTTCTTACAGTATTAACAGGTGACTTTAAAATCTACGGGACTTCAATTAATTTCTGGTGAAGAGCATGACTGTTCATCACGGTTCTGATGATGCTGAATGGAGAGTTGTACAAGAAGAGTATAATGCTTAATATGAATGTACTGCATGATCAGAGTTCACGGTATATGTAATCTCCAAAAAAAAGATCGATACATTTAAAAATGAACAATTTGACAGCTCTGTACCATCACAGATGGGTATTTTCAAAACCGTGTATTTAAGAAGTCAAGACGATTTTTATAAAATCCCTGTGATCCCTGCTTTATCTTGAAAACCGAGGATATCTTCGTGCTTAAAAGCCTTGCTCACTTAGTAGTTTCCAGTTATGACACATAATCAATCAATTTTCAAACTCCTCCAAAGTTTGCGATTACTGATTCGCAAGAGCTTGGATCCTTTAGGATGTGCAGAGTTAGGAAAAAAAAAATTCTGAAAAATATTCGATCTTGCTGTGTACTTTTAAAGCTTTTTACGACTAAGCTATTGCATTGTCAACAAGTAACCACAGGTCATCTGGCAGTTTCTTATGCACGTCAGCTTTTCGCAGATCGCGTCATGTTATTCAGCATTTGAAAAAGGATCGTCTACTTTCTTGAAATTTCGGGAGGTGGTAAAGAGACTTTCAAAATCGACAGAATAAGTTGATAGTCCCTTCAAAACTACGGGATGTGCATTATGGGTATTATAATGAAGAATGTTTACAAACTCGAGCAGGAGTTTTTATAATAAGTTTTACAGTAAACGCCAAGCATGTGTCAAATTGAACTTTCATCCTGCCGTGCTAAGGGAGAACGCCGTATGAGCTTTCAGACGCTGCCAAATTTCGTCTGATAAAATGAGTATTTTTGAGGCAGCTTGTGGAGATTTTTCTTCCAATTTTGCAGAGAATTGTTTTTGAAATTTATTCTACAGTATATGAAAATTTCAAAGAAAAGTTTTCATCAGTTTCCAAATGTTTCATGAGGAAAGTTGGACAACATCAGGATGTATATACGGTGTTTTCTCTTAGAACGGCGGTATCCATGATGTGACGTAATCCTGGATTTTCGGGTGAAAAAAAAAACAAACTTTGACCCAGAACCTAGGAATTCCTTCGACACGCGTCGAGAATGACATACGCCTCGCAGGTGGATTAAAGCCCCCTCTCGACGAAGGCGTTTCGTAGCCGCGGCTGAATTATGGGCGCGATTTGTCACTATCGTAGTGATTACTGTCGTAGAATAGCGTAATTATGCCCATTTGCGCCACAAAAAATTACTCGAAATGAGCTTGATATAGCTGGCTAACTCCGAGAGCCCGTTTCTACTGACGGTTGGTATTCCTCGCGAGGAAAACTTATCCGACTCGACTGGCTGCGGGAACTGGTTTCAGGGCGAGTGCGCTGATCTCACAGAAAAATGCCTCTTTCCAACGCTGCCAAACATCCATCGTTCTTATCACAGTCGTTGCCAGTTTACTTCCCTCATGAAACGACCTAACTACATTTCAACTCGGTGATGTGCCTTTTGCAAAGTGCGAGAATTTGCGAATTGATAAATGATTCCAAAAACAAATTTTACGGAAAGAACGATGGTACTATTAAAAAATGTTGA